TTATCCATTTAAACTCTCTGTATTTATATACTCTGAGGTCTGTATCAATCAGCACTTTTCCCCCTCAGTTCTTAGAACTAGTCTCATAGATGTACATTTTAAATAACTAACTTAGGACCACTTTATCCTTAAGATAAACCTGGCAGAATCTACAGTATTTCTACTTTATACTGCATTTAGCTTGCACTTCAGTTTGATATATATAGACTATAGTCCACTACTTGCGGCTTAGTTTTACTCATTCTGGAAGTATATATAGCACTAGGTCAAGGTTTTTGTTTATGATTTTTCTTCTAGCTTAAACTTTCTTCTGCTTTTTTTTTATAATTTATTGCTGTTTTTGAAATAGTTGAAAATAGAAATAAATTTTATTTTTTGGCATATATTTGTATACTCGTACACTGGTATACTCGACTATCTAAGCATGTTGATTAAAAATCAATATCGATTTTATATAATTGTTTACCAAACAATAGTCATGCAGATTTGTACTTTATATACCAGATTGGCTAGTACAAATAAATTGCCCGGATAACTAATTTACAATACATACCAATACCGATACTATTTTAACATTTCAACGAAGGATTAATATTCAATGAAGTATTAATATTCAATGTGCAATATGCAATCAAATTTTGACTCCTGAAAAACTTCATCTAGACAAATTTATTTATTTTCTAGAATCTAAAAGGTCTAGATTTAGTATATAAGCTTGTAAGGGTTTTACAGTATATTTGTTTAATTAATATACATAGATTTAGGTTATGTTCATCTTCTGATTCAATACAGGACTGAGAAAACTCTATTATAGATCTTTGCCACAACTATATTCAAATATAAAAGGTCTGTATTTAATGCATGAGCTTGTAAGGTTTTACAGTGTGTTTGTTTAATCTTTGATATTTATATATTTAGGTTGTATTCGTGTTGATTCAGTACAAGACCAGAAAAACTCTATTATAGGTTTCTGCCACAACAATATTCGAATATAAAAGGTCTGGATTTTATTTATGAGCTTTTATGGTTTTACAATGTTTGTCTAATCTTTGATGTTCACAGATTTGTGTTTGCCTTCTGATTCAGTACAGGATCAGAAAAACTTTATTATAGACCCCACCACAACAATATTTAAATATAAAAGGTCTAGATTTTATTTATGAGCTTTTATGGTTTTACAATATTTGTCTAATCTTCGATGTTCACAGATTTAAGTTGTGTTTGTCTCTGATTCAACACAGAACCAGAAAAACTCTATTATAGATCCTCACCACAACAATATTTGAATATAAAAGGTCTGGATTTAATTTATGAGCTTGTAAGGTACTGTATAGCGTGGTCTAAAATACCCAGTGTACTTTACAATTTAAGCTATATATAGGGTATTATAGTTTATAGTTAGCGTAGAGGTATAAGCTGCACTATATAAGTGCTTTAGTAATATTTTATTTACTAAATCAATTAATTCATTTTATTCCAAATAGAAAATCCACGAACATAAAATACGAGCAAAGTCAGATCAAAAATTCAAAAGGTTCTAGCAGAGATAATATACATAAAAATCATGTTAGATAAATATAAAACAAAGTAGTAATCAGCATATCAACTTGCTTTAGTATAGATATTCAAAAAGATAAAGGATCACAAATTAGAAAATGAATTATTTGCAGTATGTGAATAATACTTGTTTGAATTAGGTTTTGACCTTCTTGATAAATTTAAAGAAACAACCAAATCTGTTACCAAAGAAACAACTAGATTATCATGGATCTGATAGTAGAATTCTTTTACCTAATAATGCATATCTCAATTCAAAATTAATTGTTGTTAGACCGCATATATAGCTAACCATAAACTCAAACAGAATTATTCTAAAACTGAGAGACTGGCTAAAGAAAAGACACAAGAAGAAATTTCAGTATTTGCAAAACAAGAAGTCAACAAATTATTTGCTAATAATATCATACATAGCAATAAGGAAGGTGTGTTGTCTAAGTACTCCAAGGTGATGTTAACTAAAATAATTTGCTTTACTATTAATTCTTTAAGCTGTCCATAAAACTGATTCGGGTTAATTATAAAAAAATAAAAAAAAATTCTAATTTGTAAGAATACAGATAAGTAATAGTTTTATCCTGAATAGTTGAGTATAAGCAGAAATTTTATTCTGCTTATATACATAGTACCCAGGATATAACTGATTTACCCTGCGATCTTTATATAGTGACCAGAATATAAACATAATATTACTGCTGTTTTTTATAATTTTTGGAACAAATGAAAAATTATTCAAGAATGAATTAATAATTTTCTGATTTTGGCTAATATTGGTGATTTATTAATTCCAGTTCTGTAACTCATCGATCTGATCATTAGAAAGTTGTCTCTAGACTGTAAGATAATTTGTATTTTGAATATTTTTGGATATTTGAAATAGTACTCAAATTTCTAATGCATGTATCTAATTTCAGACATTTAATTTTAATCAGATGTTACTTTATATGTCTAAAGTTGTTACTTCAGATAGGTGATATTTCAGATTAGAGTTGTATTACAAAAGTTACAGTTTTGCAATATATATATTTATACAAATTTTAATAAATCAGATTTCATATAATTTTTATCACATTATATATAAATACCAGTTTTACAAAGGTTTAGTATTATGGTAATATTTGATTCGAATATATTATCTGGATTATAACTTCTCAATTGCTAAAAGTTGATCTCAGAATTTATATATTATGTGTTCAAATTACAGCATTTAGCAAAATTGAAAAAAAGTTAGCAAATATATGAACCCTTTTTATCTTGTTTTATCGCAGTATTAAACCCTAAAACTTATGTAGTTGCTTAAGCAAAACATAAAAGAAACACATGCAAGAGCAAATCCTTTATTTTTATTCCTAAATACAGAATATTTAATAGGTTGAATTGGTATTTGGTTATAGTTCGATATAGATAATATTAAACCCATATAACTATCTATTTTAATTAAAATTGCTAGAGTAATAAAGAAGAGATTATTCCTAGAGATGTAAACATTTAGAGTAAACCAAACTTAATAATCATTACATTATATTTTAATATATAAATATAAATTGAATATGTAGGTATGATTAACTTTGTGTAAACAATTTTAACTATCAGATCAAATAATTTCTTAATTAAATTTTCTTTGAGTGGTAGCTACCTCAACAAAAATATTATAGCAAAATAGCACTGTATAAGTAGAAGTACAGTATGTCATAATCTTCCCAACGCAACCAACAAAAAACTCTGTTATATGAGTTTCAGTGGTCATGAAAGAGACTTGTCACTTATATCGATATTAATATTACAGCACTAGTCTGATACTGATAAAATATACACTTTCATTTATTTTTTCTTTTACTTTTTATAAATCAACACTTCTTTGTTTCTTCTTTAATGTATTTTGCATTTTAACAACTACAAAATTTTTTAATTTTTGTGAAGCCAAAAATTATTAAATAATAAAAAAAAAATCCTTTAAAAATGGATGATAATTATATGAATTATTGATTTTAAGTGAATCAAAACCACTATAACTTTTTAAAAAATGAAAGTTAACATCTATACAGGCAAGAAGTGGATTGGGTCAAGAACTCATTCGAATAACTAAGCAATAATAAAATAAAATGTAATAATAAAATTTTTCATCAAGCGATCAACTTTTCCAACTTTTTTAATTGTAAATCTAGGAAAAAAGACAATGAAAATTGTTTACACAGAGTTAATCATACCTATATATTCAATTTATATTTATATGCTGAAATATAATATAATGATTATTAAGTTTGGTTTTTATTTTTTTTTTTAATTGCACCGTTGTTTAGTCGAACTAAGAACCGGTTATTTCTGAAAATTTCAGTGAATATAATTTGAAAGGCTTTCTCTTCGCTCCCCTTTGCTCCAGCCAAGTTGTATCAATTGTTGAGATGATTAAATACTACATTATTCATAATCTTTAATGTATAAAAAAGATACTTTGAGACAATGGGCAGTGGCACAGTAAATGGCTACTATTCACTATACATATTGTTTTAGTCTTGTTCTATTGGTCTTTTTTTGTTATATGGCTTTATCCAGTTATATAGTAATAGTAGCTAATTTTGTTCTGCTGGTTTTCTTTTGTTATATGACTCTGTCTAGTAACAGTGGCTAATTTTTGTTCTGTTAGTTTTTTTTTGTTATATGAACCTGTCCAGTAATAGTGGCTAATATTTGTTCTGTTGGTTTTCTTTTGTTAATGATTCTGTCTAGCAATAGTAGCTAATTTTTTTTTTATTAAAGAAAAAAAAAACTAATTAAAATTATATAGAGATTTTTTAAAGTTTTTAGATCAAGAAATACTGTATATGAACATGGTTTTTAGAATTATTAGCATATTCATTGTCCTAATATATAATATCGAAGAGTGATACCAATATGCTAATAAATTTATAAAGTTCTATTTTCTTTTTTTTTTGTTTTATGTAGTAATAATATATAGATGAATAAATAATTTAATAATTTAATAATGAAATTTTGTAATATTTAATAATCATAAATTGCTATAAAAAAAAATATATATATCACTTTATAAAATTGAAATATATTTTTTATGCCAAAAGTGTTTATTCTGCTTTACGGACCAAACTCAAAACTTATATGAATATGATGTTGAACAAAAACCAGCTCGCGATAAAACTCGTCCTGAACAAAGTTAACAAATTTATAGTAATGTTATGATCCTAATGTTATTCAAATATCTCAAAAACTATTTCTTCAAAGATATAACCATACTTTTGCATATAACTGTAATTTAATCAATCATTTAATTAGTCATTTAATTTTAGTTTTTGTTTAACATGCTATTCACAATATAATCATACTAAAGACAGTTTTAAAGATAATGATATTTCTTTAACCATTACAAGTATTAGTAATCATGCTAAAGAAAGGGCTATAAGTGTTAGTGATAATGATTTTGACTATTCAACAAATCCTGTTTCATCAAATGAAGATTCTAATCTTGATTTAGAATTCAAAACCAAAGTTATAATTGAAGTTAGTAAATCTGATCCAATACCAGCAAAATAGTTCACGTTTGAATTAAATGATTTTGGCATTTTTCAAGATAATCTGGTTAATCATATTCAAAACATATTAATAATAATAATTTGGATAAAAATAATATTCAAGTTTCTTATAAAATCAATGGTCGTGGACAAGCAATAGCTTTAGATAACAAAGATAATTTTAATATGTTTATTAGTGAGTATAAAAAAATAGAAATGTCAAGCAAACATATGGTGCTAAACATTGTGCTAAAATTATCTAGTAATAAAAAAGGTAATAAAAAAGGTAATAGAAAAAGAAAAACTAAGATACGTATATATATACATACATACATATATTTGATTTTATATGTATATATTATCGTTATAACCAGTTATAATATAAATTATATTTTTAACATTTATATATAGAATTTAATTAATTCAATTGAAGAATCTAGTGATTCGGATAAAGAAACACCAAAAAAAATAACTAAAAATTAAAAATAGGGTTTGTACCCAAAGAATCCAAACTTAGTAATGATGAAATTGAACTAGCCAATATTATCACAGAAATTAGATCTAAATATCAATGCAATCTTCACTCTATGCTCTGTTATATTAAAGATGATAAATATCTTAAACTAATATCTTCACGTTTATATTTGTAAGCATGAGATATAGTAAGTACTATTATTTTAAATAAATATATATGTAAAATATAATAAATATTCTTATTTGTAGAAAAACAAACTTATCACTATTGAAACACTACCTTCGTATCCAATCTTTGGTATAACTAATGTCATTAAATCTAATATCTGAATATTACAATTACAATCACCACCTATAGTTACATCAAGTTCAGGTTTAATTCCAAGTCTTCAAGAATTTTTTGAAGATTTAAATAAAAATCATAATAGTAATAGGGCTTATTTAGATTTAAAAGAGATTTTTGAACAGGAAGAAATAACTGTAAATATAATTAAGAACTTAAACGATTCAGAATTAATTAAATTAGGAGTTACCAAAATTGGGTAGTGAAAAAATATAAAATAGGCAGGAAAAAAATATTAATACGTACGTATGTAATTTTGAGACCTGGAGTTTGTAGTATATACATATATTTTTTGATGGATTTGGAAGTTTAGTAGGGATTGTACTCAGATAGATATTTTTATTAGATGGTTATAATAAATTATCTGCATAACCGGGTAATTGAATAATATTTAGATAAAATTTTTTTGACAGATACAATCTCTAAAGATTAGAATATCAAGTTTTTTTTAAGTTTAAACGTTTTTTTTTTATCATTAGATAGTAAGTCAAATATTATGCTATTTTAGTAAATCTTGCAAATAAATAGGCTTGTCATAAAAATTTTTTCTATTAATAACTCTTAAGTATACCATAATATTCGATTTTCTTTTATAAATAATAGTTATATTCTGGGCAATTAGGTATAAGTGAATTTTGCATAGTAAGTATAATTGGCTGTGGTTATTTGTACTTTTACTGCAAAATTTCGTATATATTCAACTACATAGGATGTAACTGATTTATCTCTGCTATCTATATAACATAACTTTCATGTATCTATTTTAAAATAAAGCTTTTATTTTATACATAGTTTTGATATTTAAGATTAATAAGATAATGCTCAATTACTTAAATTAAATAGATATATGTTTAGTAGAAATAAATATATAAAAAAGTTATATAGATAGAGTTGGCCAGGAGATAATATAAGAATAAACTCTTATAGCTATTATTAGAAGAGCATAAAATAAAGAAAGATCAGGTATTATAGTATACCTAAAGATGCTAAAAGTCTTCATTAAAAGTATATTTTATTTCTAAAATTTATTCAAATAAACTAATATTTGACTTAATTTATTGTCAAAAAAAATTTTTTTTTAAAAAAAACTTGATATTTAGAACTTTTAAAATCATCTGAAAACTGTTATATTTTTTTAATAGAGAGATATTATGAGACTGTAATCTAAAAAATATATATAAATATTTATGAAATACATAAGCAAGATCGTTAGTTATTACTCAGCAGTTACATGAGATACTATTGATATCTTTTATATCTAAACATATTTGGTACATATATTTATTTCTTTTATATTAGACCATTTTATCATATTATATTTGCTGTATATTACTAGTAATTACTATTAGTTCACAATATATATAAGTATCACCGTTATTTCTTCAAGAATTAGCAGTGCTTTCCACTCAAATATTAATTAGAATAATCATGTCTTCATATAGTAACTCAAGGTTTTATTAATAAACAGTTATATGTCTACTTGTATCTTTATATTTATTTAGTCGTTTGCCTCTTTCATAATTGCAAATTATATTAAATCCTCTTTAATACTAGTATTAAATTATTAGCACAAGTCATATATTATACATAACGAATACAAGACATTTATTTATTATCGTCTTAGGTTATTCTGTTCTTATAAAGAGATAGTTCATATTATGCAGATAACCCTTTTTATACATACGTTGTAAAAGTTAGAAATTTGTAGGCTGTGTTAGAAAAATTACTGGGTTGATATTTACTCTGCTCACTACAAAAATAATAACTAATTTACTATAAGTAGAACTATTCAAAATACTAAAACTACTTTAACCAAGCCCTAATATTGCTAAAGTAATGATCAAGATATGAAAAAACTTGGTCTGAGTAACTAGAGTTAATTTGGTTGATAGGGATAGTATTAGACTCAGATAAGTATTCTACTATCTTTTTTTAATAAATATTCTACATTTCTTAGCACTTTTGCTAGTACTATCATTCTTTTTGTAGATATTGTGGCTGGGTTTTGTGATCAAATTTGGCCAATCAGAATATCACAAGATCACGAATCAAATAAAATGATATTGTTACAAACTTAATCAGGATCGATTTTAATATATAAGGGTTGTATTATTAATACTATTTCTTTCTTTTACTAAAAGTCACAAGGATAAGAAAAGACTATAACAATAAACAATTTTTAACAAGAAGGGTACCATGAGACAAATACTTCTACTCTTATTTCAAAGGTTTTCGTGAAACTATTTAAATTGAACTTTATAAAGTTATGTTTTATCTCCATTTATATAATAAATTTTATATATACAAAAATAATACAAATTCTAATTTTTCTAGTTATTCTAATTTTTCATTCTTCTCACTATTCTGATTTTTTCTACTATTCTCTAAATTAACTGAATTCTAGAAATTTATACAACTGATTGCTGCAACAACTTTTTTGAGAAGAGCGATCCTGCCTTTTATAACATACATATTAAATTTCTTTATGTGTTCATAATTGGGTTTAATATATTTTACATATACAGAGTCAAATGGAAAAATCCATGATACGTATCTGGTCCAAGTGATATTTGAAAGGCTGTATTTGCTTATAATATAATTTGCAATATATGAGCTTAAATAGTTGTAATCATTAATTAACTTCAACGTTTGTTACTAAATAACAAGTTGTGAAAAAAAAGATATTCTTTAGTATAAGCAAAAAAGCAAGTATTTTATTATTATTATTATTTTTTTTTTTTATATTCTCACAATTGACTACTACTAACCATTATCTAATTATATTATTTTTGATATGTTATTGTATCACATAAGCACATTAAGTATTGATTTTTTTTTTGTGTATTAATTCCTAATTAAATATATATAATCTAATATATTTTTTTATTTATCTAGGCTATTACTAGATCGATTATCAATATACAGAATTATTCACAAATTCTGATAATAAAATATAATACATAAATACAAATAATAATTATGAGTAATAACTCAATAAAAACTTATTTTAAATAACCCGATCCACAAAAAAAGTTTACTGCCATTTCAGGTGTGATCTGTGCACATGCTATCATGATTATATGAAATGGATTATTTATAGCATTCATAAAGTCCCTATTTCTCTTAATCCAACTTTTAATAGTACTAAAGGCAGTTTCTATAGGATTATAGTTAGGAGAATAAGGTGGTAAGAAAATTACATAGCACCCAAGTTCTTCTACTATATTAACAAATATTTCATTTTGATGAATCTTTGCATTATCAAGAACAATAATGCTATTCTTTTCAGGGAAAGAATTCATCACAGAAATCTATATTATTAAATATATATTTTAATAATAATAATTAAATATTTAAATAGCAATAAAATTTAATTAACTTACCACTTGCAACAAAATAAATTCACAAAACTGCTTTTTATCACAATTATCTTTCATAATTTTAACAGCCAAAAAACTATCTAGTAAAAAAGCAGGTAAAATAGTATACTTTTTATCACGAATAAAAGTAATCTTTTTTCATGCTCGAGTATTAATAGATACATACCTATAATATTGATTTACACTGTGTTCATCCTTTCTAGATTTATCTATAATGATCAACTAGTCCAGATGAAAATTGGCTCCAATATTGGCCAGATAAGCACTTTGCAAATACTTGTTTCTCTCAGAGGCCATCTTGTATAACTAATTAAAAAAAAATCATTAATAACTTCTATTTCTAATAAAAATATATTTTTTTATAAATTTTTGATTACCTTTTTGTAGAAAATACCACAGTATTGTAATAATCACTATATGGTTGATAGAGAAACTTGCTTTTGTGTATAGATTGCTATCTTAACTGCAAGCTCATCAAGATATAAATCTACTTTCTTTTTAACAATATGTTTTAATAGGCCTAATTCTTCATGGTTAAAAATTTTCCTGTGCCCAGGTTGTTCTTTAAATAGATTTTTGACGCATCTTTACTTTTGAAAAATCTTTAATATTCGACGTACAGAAGCTTCGCTTATAAAAAAAAGTGTAGTAATATCTTCATTATTATAACCGTTTAAATTTAAATAAACGACTCTCTATCTTAGATCTTCACTAAGTTTCTGTAGCATACTGGATTAGAAAGTAATTTGAAAATGTGAATGTTATTAGCAAATTGTAAGTAATTATTGCCTGTATTTAAAAAAAAAGATTTGGGATTTTGTAGCT